CTTGGAGATGTGTGTGTGTGTTGGAGAGAAATATATGTAGTAGATATAATAGAGGAATAATAGATTGGTTAGAAAAGTAGGGTCCAAGAGCTAATAGCTCGATTCTGCAGACACAAATAGTAAATAGTAAACACATATTCAAGATAGCGGTGGCCAGGGTCTCACTCCCCCCTTCCCGGGGGTGTCGGTCGAGCCGAGCGGACAGCACGCTGGACTTGTGATCCTGTGGTCCTGGCTTCGATCCCAGAAACAATGGGCAGAGTTTCTTTCACCCTATGCCCCTGTTACCTAGCAGTAAAATAGGTACCTGGGTGGTAGTCAGCTGTCACGGGCTGCTTCCTGGGGGTGGAGGCCTGGTCGAGGACCGGGCCGCGGGGACACTAAAAGCCCCGAAATCATCTCAAGATAACCTCCCCCCCTCTCTTCCAATCCTCCCCCCACTTTCTCAAGACTATTCCCCCTCTGTGCTCTCTCTTCCTATCTTCCCCTCTCTCTCTCTCTCTCATCTCTCTTTTCCTATCTCCACCCTTCATCTCCCGTCATCTTCACCCCTTCTCTGCTTCCCTCTTTTATCCCTACCTTACAGTTTCTCTCTCCTTCTACTACCCCCCTCTCCCTTTTTCTCTGTCTGCCCCCTGAAAATATAATACTGCAACACGAATGAATTCCAGTTCCGTTTTCAAGTAAATCAAGAGCGGGTAAACGGTGGGAGTAAAACAAATCAAAACTCCACAAAAACACTTCTGCCATTTCATTTCAAACATCATGAAAATCACAAGGGCGAGGGCTGCTATAGATTCTGCTATCTTTTACTTTTGCTGACCCCAACTGGCCTATGCCACGCTTACACACATCACGTTGGAAAGTTTGGCGAGACTAGCCCTACGCGTTTGGTCTCCAACTTCGTTAATAACCCCCAATTTCCTACTCCGGCAGACAAGCACGAACTGGATGGCGTACGAGTCAACGGGAAGGGCAAGAAGATGAGGAAGCCGAGGACCATCTATTCATCACTGCAACTACAGCATCTTAACAAGATATTCCAGAGGACCCAATACCTCTCCCTGCCGGAGCGCGCCGAACTGGCGGCTTCTCTCGGCCTTACGCAGACCCAGGTGATGACTCCTCGCCTCATTGTTCATTATTATTAATAGTAATATTATATTTCACCGGAAACCTGGCAGTAATTTTGCTGCCAGGTTTCTAGTGAAACTTAGTTCTATTAGTTCTAGTTCTAATATATATATATATATATATATATATATATATATATATATATATATAATATAAATATATATAGATATATATATATATATATATATATATATATATATTATATATATATATATAATATATATATATATATTATAATTGTTACGAGCGGTCATTAATCGCACTTGCATCAATATTTGAGTAAGTGTGTGGTGTGTGTGTGTGTGTGTGTGTGTGTACTCACCTAATTGTGCTTGCGGGGGTTGAGCTCTGGCTCTTTGGTCCCGCCTCCACATCTTTGGTCCCGCGTGTGTGTGTGTGTGTGTGTGTGTGTGTGTGTGTGTGTGTGTGTGTGTGTGTGGTGTGTGTGGAAGAGGGGCTGGGTAATGAATATGATACAGCCAGCCTTCAGCCGGTGCATTTCACTGGAGTTATTCCATCAGGCAACACACACACACACACTAGTACCACCTCTGTTTAATAGCCAGGGGAAGGAGGAAACAGTGGAGTTATCCACATCATATTCGAAAGGTCAATTAACGCCAGCAATCACAATTATCCCGGGATATCCTTCCCTTGAAAAGCGTTTTTTTTTTACTGAAAAATTATTAACTATAAGAACAAAAGACTTTTTGAAATTCAATTTCACTTTTGTTTATTAACGTATATGAACATATTAATGGGACATGCAAAACAATAGAATAAAAAGCTTGAAATGTAATCTAATATATTAACGAAATTTATCTTGATTAGTTGTAGCAAAAGAGTTTATTTCATATGGATTCCATTTCATGATGGCCTCCGAATGTATGATAAGACTGATGAGTTAGCCAAAAAATCTGCCTTTAAAGGAGAAATTTACTATAATCTGGATTGCCTATAAACAGTCTTAGAGCAACAAGACACCACAGAATTTCAACAAAACCTTATAGATCTGAGGCAAAGTGAAATCGACACTAGTTATTCTATCTAAGAATAACTGCCCGAAACGCTGCGTGTACTAGTGGCTTTACAAGATTGTAAATACTATGCTATGTATTCTCACAAACCCAATGTACCTTCTTGTATATAAATAAATAAATAAATAAATAAATCTATCATTATACTATCATGCAAGAGGAGCCACACATCTATGGATCATCCAATAAAATCAGCAGACTTCTAGATGTTACTACTGCTCGGCTTAGACTCGGTTACAAGTATCTCTGGGAATTCACATTATCTGCTGATGTAGACCTGACCAAATGTAAACTGTGTCAACAAAATTATTCGCACACCCTCCGTCACTATGTGATGAGAGTGTGAAAAGATACGTGAATTCTGAGATAATTCCACAGCAAATGTTTAAGAGATGTGTAAATATTTCATTCAAAATGATCTGCTACCAGAAATTTTAGCCAAATATCCCCAGTTTGCTAACTGTAGGTAGTAACTGAGTGACTGTAACCTATCCACCGCTGCCCACTGGATGGGGGGGCGGTGTGCAGGACAACATATCAATTGTGACACTAGCTCTCCACATATGTCAGTTGCTTAATTTAGAAACTGTACTTGTGGTCGATCTCGAACTCATTATTGATGTGACGATGTGCATTGAATTTTGTAACAAGTTCATCACGACTGTAACTTGCATAGCTAAATGAATATTAGGGTTCAGTCCCTGAGCCCATTATGTGCCTATGTAACCATCTCCACTACCGCCTACAGGATGAATATAGAGTACATAATAAATGAACTAAACTGTTACAGTTACAAAGAGCAATATAATAAAATATACTATTGAATCACATGTTCATAAACGGTATATCAACTGGTCATCAAACTAGGTATAAGAACTACAAAATGAATACCTTTATCAAATATTAAAACTAGCAACAAATTGTCAACCTCACTATCGTGAAAATAAACTTAGTCTTTTCACGACATTTCCACGAAATAAACAATATTTATATTCACGATAGTGTAGTTGACACATTATATGACATGGGTTTGCATCACTAATTCCTGTGTGGTTAAGAGGGAGACTATATAAAATATAACATTTAAATTATATCTGGGCCGTGGTGAGCTGCCTCTGGGGCCAGATTCACGTAGCAGTTACGCAAGTACTTACGAACGTGTACACGTATTCACGAAGCAGTTACGCAAGCACTTACGAACCTGTCCATCTTTCCTCAATCTTTGACGGCTTTGGTTACATTTATTAAACAGTTTACAAGCATGAAAACTTGCCAATCAACTGTTGTTATTGTTATAAACAGCCTCCTGGTGCTTCGGAGCTCATTAACTGTTTAATAATTGTAAACAAAGCCGCCAAAGATTGAGAAAACATGTACAGGGGCCAGATTCACGAAGCAGTTACGCAAGCACTTACGAACGTGTACATGTATTCACGAAGCAGTTACGCGAACTTTAATTGGCAATAAAAAAAAAAAAAAAATATATATATATATATATATAATATATATATATATATATATATATATATATATATTATATATATATATATATATATATCTGAGGAGCTGGAGGAGCTATCAACTTATGACAAACAGCCTTGTACCCTGTATGTAATAATATTGTAACTTTTTTTGTGTAATGACATTTTCAAATAAAGTTAGATAAATATACACACTTAACAAAAGAATAGGGGTGGTAGGAGAAGAAAATATCAAAGTGTTCAGTGAGGATCCAAAAGGTCTTCTCTGAGTACTCTTATTTTCTTCTCTGAGGCTATGGGTCCCTACATTTGCACCAGTGGTACCCCTTCTAGGTTAAAAAAAAATATTATATTATATATATATATATATATATATATAGATATATTATATATATATATATATATATATATATATATGTCGTACCTAGTAGCCAGAACGCACTTCTCAGCCTACTATGCAAGGCCGATTTGCCTAATAAGCCAAGTTTTCCTGAATAATATATTTTCTCAAATTTTTTTTCTTATGAAATGATAAAGCTACCATTTCATTATGTATGAGGCCAAATTTTTTTTATTGGAGTTAAAATTAACGTAGGTATATGACCGAACCTAACCAACCCTACCTAAGCTAACCTAACCTATCTTTATAGGTTAGGTTCGGTTAGGTAGCCGAAAAACTTAGGTTAGGTTAGGTTAGGTAGGTAGGTAGTCGAAAAAACATTAATTCAGGAAAACTTGGCTTATTAGGCAAATCGGGCCTTGAATAGTAGGCTGAGAAGTGCGTTCTGGCTACTAGTACGACATATATATATATATATATATATATATATATATATATATATATATATATATATATATATATATATATATATATATATATATATATATATATATACACATCTTCCAGGACCACAGGTAGGCGGCTTAAGGGGTTTTCAAGGCGTTTCTAAGTCACTAAGGTCGATTAAATTACATTATTATGCAAATTCACTAGAAAAAGTGATTATATGTATTTATTGGTCTAACAATAAAGGAAGACGGATCTAATGGCCGAGGGGAATAAACCAAGTAATTGCTAGTAACTAAAAGAAGGGGAATTATGCAGGAGAGAAGAACTAGTAGAGAAAAAAAATAATAAGATACCAGGATGTAGAGGCAAAGAACTTTTTTTTTTTTTTTTGAGATATATAGAAGAGTTGTTACATTCTTGTAGAGCCACTAGTACGCGTAGCGTTTCGGGCAGGTCCCTGGAATACGATCCCCGCCGCGAAGAATCGTTGTTACAACCAAGTACACATTTTACTGTTGCGTTAAACAGAGGCTACAGTTAAGGATTTGTGCCCAGTAAATCCTCCCCGGCCAGGATACGAACCCATGACAAAGCGCTCGCGGAACGCCAGACGTTCGTAACTAAGGAAAACTAGTGAGAAAAGTTGAACACGAGTGGAAACTAAAAATCACGTTACCTGCCAATGGAAACTATGCAATTGAAAAACAAAATGTAGGGTAAAATACGCGACTTACAGTAGCATGGCATTTAAAGTTAATTGTGTGGCAGAAACTTGGGGCAAAGGATAGACAGTCCCGCCAAATACACACCGAAACTACGACGTTGGTACAACGTTCGAACAAGATTTAACACCACCTAACCAGTTATAACAACCAATATAGCAAGTTGTAACAACGTTCTAATACGTCATAAACACGTTAAGCCAAGATGTAACAAGTTTATTACAAGTTGTAACAAGCGGAAAATAGAGACAGTTTCGGTTTGTGTTTCCAGGGGTGTCAGTATATATGTACATGTATGCGAGTATGAAATACGGGAAAGGCGACCCCCAATAGGAAGGGAAGGATAAAATATAGTAGGAGATCTATACGGTAGGAAAAACAATTATAGAATTGGAGCTAGATTCACGAAGCAGTTACGCAAGCACTTACGAACCTGTCCATCTTTTTCTCAATCTTTAGCGGCTTTGTTTACAATTATTAAACAGTTAATGAGCTCCGAAGCACCAGGAGGCTGTTTATAACAATAACAACAGTTGATTGGCAAGTTTTCATTCTTGTAAACCGTTTAATAAATGTAACCAAAGCCGTCAAAGATTGAGGAAAGATGTACACGTTCGTAAGTGCTTGCGTAACTGCTTCGTGAATCTGGCCACAGGATCGGAACTATCCAAAAGACACAGAAGGGAAATGTAGTATAATTAGAGGTAAAAAAAAATAGGTGTGTAGGGTAGAGTACATGCAGAACACAGGGAAGGGAAAGTTTAGTCTGAAGGAAAATAGGAGTAGATAAAGGAGAATACAGATAAAGGTAGTAGATAGGGAAGGAGTAGAAGGCCAGGGCAACAAGGAAGGAGACTGTAGGGCAGAGAGAGAGAAAGGTAGGGAGCTAATAGGTAGGGAAGGGAGGGACTCACTGCTCGAGTTCCCCAACTATTGACTTTTTAATAACTT